CTGATCATTTTGTATTAAGCTATCTTGAGCCTATCAGAAAACTGATTGTTTTTCTCCTAATTCTTTTCTTCTTTTTTCATATTATGTCATATTATTTAAAACCATGTATAAAGAAAGCAGTTTTCGAGTAGAATTTTTTTTATAGAGTCTAAATTTTTTTTCATATTCTAAATTATTAGGTCAGCAATATCCCTGGGCCTCTAAAGACAGGTAAGTTCAATGAAAGAGCAAAGTACAACTTTAGGAGGAAATATGGAATAGAGCATCATGAATATACTATTAGCAAAGTTACGAGAATGCATATGGACCTTTGACATCTTAATTGTGATAACAAAAAGTCTTTGCTACTTCCTCAAAACTTGGTTCATTCATGACATGATTACTTATTGTGACTATTTTGACAGACAAATGTACTGACCAGAAGAAACCAAGGAGTTTACATTTTAAGGATTTGCTCTTACTTAAAGTAGATGAGAAATTGCAAAAGTAGCAATTAAATATAATCTATCTCTATCTTTTTAATGCAGGACAGATTAAAAAGCATAGTTCTGATAACATAAGAATGTAAAGTGAAAAAAAAATTCTACATCATCCCACAAAAATAATAGGGTTTTTTTGCTGGGGCAAGGGGGAAGAGAATACTTCCTGTTAGGTGTATCCTAACAACCACTTGATTAATTAATTAATTTACTTAGACCTACACTTCACAGGAGCTCAAAGCAATCTATACACCCTGAAAAGATTAGTAGAGGCTAATAAAATTATTACTTTTGGAATTAGAGATTATTAAAATATAATTCTGTGGCTCATTTGTAAGGTAGAACAATACATTAAAAATAAATTTTTTAATAGATAAATTGAAGTTAAAGGAAGTTAAACTCATTTTGCTAAAGCAACAGTGATAAAGTAGCATTATCAATAGTGGGCAGAATTTGTTTTGATAATATGTATTTGCTTAAAAGGACTCAAAATTCCAAAAAAAAATTTTTATCTCATCAGAAATTTAACAAGCCCACCTTTAGTGATTATGATTTACCTTTGTTTTAGTCAAATCACTTCTAAATGTTTTTCTGCTTAGATTTTTAAAATTTTAAATATGTCAGAAAATGAGTGTTCTAGAAGTTGTTTTCCTTACGTTTGACCTAAATGCTGAACTATAAACCCATGTTGACAGCCCAAATAAGCAGTCATTATCCCTAATGACACATTATCCTTTAATTTTACATTCAAGTGGCCCTTTGTTATGAAGGAGGTTTTGTTATATATTAGAAAGATTTGGGCTTCAGAGCCAGATATACCTGTGCTATCCTGACTTTGCTGCTTCCAAATTTCATAATGTTTAGGAAATCATTTAGTTTCTCTTAGCCTCAATTTTCCTATCTGTAAATTGGAAATAACCATGCTTATCTCAAATGAGAATGAATCGTACTACATGTGAAGATTCGAGTCCATTAAAGACTTTAAATAAGTAGATTTTGCTCTTGTCTTACTATTATTATTTTTGTCTCCATGAGAGATTTTTTTATTAATCTCTTGATAGCAAAAAGGAAGGTTTATCATAGGAGTTTTGTAAATTAAAAATGAAATGAAAAAATATCACTTGTAGTTCTTTTTCAAGCTAGAAATAAGTACTTTAACATTTTAGTGTATATGATTTTTTCTTATTTTCCGATTAGAAATATGCTTGTTTTAACAAAAAAACAATGTTTAAATGTGATTTGAAAAGATACTCTTTCATCCTTAAAAACTATGATGCCTGTTTTTATTTCAAGACATATGATGCTATAATTTTAATAATTTATAAATTCTGTGTCATAATTTAATGAGATTATGTTCAGGTCCTGTTTTACCCCCATTTTGGAGTACTATTGCAGATTTAGGGTTTTTTTTTCCAGTTTTTGTTCTTGTTGTCATTGTTGTTAATATTAGAAATTATATGTTATGGTAAATATGCTTTATAACTAAGTCTTTTTGTATTATTTATGATTGTTACTTCTTTAGCCTGTTTTTTCTTAATACTTATTCTTTAGAAACAAAATTTAAGTGTAATTTATATATCCTATGGTTATTCACATTTTATTATATAGTACTGTTTTCTTTCCTCTAAATAAAGAATGTATTTTTTCTTTAAGCACAGGTTTATCATTGACTTTTCTTTGAACTGTTTCCATATTCTTGCCATTAATCCATCTTTCTGTGATCTGCAAGCAGTTAGTATATAATAATGCTAGTACTGCCCATGTGGTAGGGCATTGTGAGAAGTAATTACAGGGCTTTCTGAATTTTTACGCAAGGTAGAGAGCAAAGATTATATATAACTTATCTCTGGATTCTCAGTGACTAACCAAATGTCTTGTATGTGTGTAGTTCTCAATAGGAGTTGAAGTAGACTCTTAATCTCTGCACCCCATTGCAGACACCTACAAATTTGCATATATTTTCCACCCTGTGCTCCAGCATGAATAACCTGTTTGCTATTTCTTGTATATTGTTCAAGAGCTTTTGCATTATTGTTTTGTAGTTCAGACCTAGGGCAAACAGCCAAACCCAGGTTTGAATTCAGGCTGCACTCTACCAGCTACCTAATTGTGTGATCTTAAACAAAGCATCAGACTTCCCATCTGTAAAACAGTAGTTATTACTGTATATATTGTACTGATAATGTCATAAGACTTAGAAGTCTACCCAATATGAGGTAACCAAATAATGAGAATTTGATAAATGACTATTATTATTATTGCAACCAAAGCTAGTCAAATGCTCCAAGATGAAGTGTAGTACTATAACTGTTAGTGTCTAAATTAACACCTGCTGCATTATTGACTTTATTATGTGTTAACCTGTGTTCCCTCTATAGAAGAACATTGTGAAGATTTCCAGGTATTTACAGACATTTTTAAATTGATTTTTTTTTCCTTTGGGAGAGAGAGTGAGGGAGGAGGTATAGAAGGAGAGAGAGAGAGAGAGAATCTTAAGTAGGCTTCACGGCCAGCACAAAGCTCGATGCAGGACTTGATTTTACAACCCTGAGATCATGACCTGAGCCAAAATTAAGAGATGCTTAACCAGCTGAGCCACCCAGGTGCCCCAAGAACATATTTTTTTTTTTAGATAAGTTGCAAGGAAATAAACTAAAAAAAAACTGAATGATTTAGATATTAGAAAGAATGATAATGTTATGCTCATTTTGAAAATCAAATCAAACAGGTAGGATATTAAATAGTAAGTAAATCCCCAATATATACATATCTTTCAAATTATAATAAGGAAAGGTGACTATAATTAATCTATTAATTATTAATCTATACTAATACTTTACCACCTTAATAAAAACCCAGGTAAATGAAATTTTGTTAGAAACAAATGACTATAAAAATATTTTAGAAATCTGTTATGTTCACGTTAACAAGAAAAAAAGAGCAAAATGATATATACATTTTTATAAGTCAATAATTGAACTAATTATGGTTGACTTACACATTTGAAATAGCAAATAAGACAAGGCCCATTATAAATGTGTTCACGTTACTCTTTTCCAAATTTCTGTCTCTTCAACACTTTTGCTTGTGGGATGATATTTCCTACTAATAATACTAAATACATAATTTCGATAATGTTTCTTATTCTTTGCATCTAATGTTTGACATTAGCTGAAGTTCAGATGTACATTTGAAGACTTATACAGAAGATGAATTTTAATGAGTATTCAATATAAAATAATATTTCTAAAGTATTTCTCCTTGCTCTTTGGATATACTGTCAAAACCATATGTTGGAAGAAGGTAGCAGCTTAATCACTGAGTATGTTAATAGGTTCAAATAGATAAGGGAGAAGGGGAGTATTAGTGAGGTTAGTACAACAAAACATCTGTGATTTCATATAAATATTTATTATTGGGATGCCTGGGTGGTTCAGCGGTTGAGCATCTGCCTTCAGTTCGGGTCGTGATCCTGCAGTCCCGGGATCGGGTCCCACATAGAGCTTCCTGCATGGAGCCTGCTTCTCCCTCTGCCTATGTCTCTGCCTCTCTCTGTGTGTGTGTGTCATGAATAAATAAATAAAATATTAAAAAATATATATTTATTATTATTTTGTTATAACTGGGAATACAAAAAGAGTTAATTAGTCTTAAAAGTCATTTACAGTTAACATTGCAGAATAAAGGACTGAATTTGCTGATAATACTGTTAAATTCATCAAATTACCCACAGGGTATTCTCACATACATTTATGATGGTATAATAATGACGGTGACAATGAATATTTGAAAAGAAATATTTTACTTCCATGGGGCTGTTGTCAATCTTTAGACACTTTTGGAAATACAAAGGAAATATGTAAATGACAATCCACTTTATTGACTACTTTATTACTTTACTATCTAGAATAACTGTGTACCAGCAGAGAAATATCTCCTTTCTTAAAATTGTGTTATGTTTTCAAGGTTGGTCTTCAAGGAATTCAGAATAGTCATAATTGTGATACAATAAGAGAAGGTGAGTTTTCTATAAAATAAGTATTTGCAGTTGACCTACATGAAAACAGACTTTTGTAGTTGTTATAAGAACTGCCTGAATGCAGAAATAAAGGCTATTCTTTTATGAAAATGTTATAATGCTCACACTCAAATCCTCTGTAATTTTTAAAAATCAGCATTTAATCAGCATACTAATATTATTCCAAATCAAAAATTACTTTTTGCAAAATAATTTGTTACATTTAAAAAATTGTGATCAGTCCTAGTAAACTTGTTTTCAAAGAAACCAAGAAAATCAAGGTCACTTAAATACATATTGCCATAAATACACAAAATACAGAAGAAAACCAAGAATGAGACTGTCAATATGAGTCATAAAATTTTGAGTTCACCTTAAAAAGGGAAAATCGATTTAATTATATTGGTTATAAGAGTATAGTGTTTGTACAAAGTCTGTTTAAAAGAAAAAAAATGAAGTGTGCCTTAACAGATTATAACAATGATACTTAATAAGATACTTACTTCTGTAAAAATTCTTCATAGCCACATACACTTAGAAGATGGTCTTTGGGGAATAACTGGTCATTTGTACAAAAATGTAGAATCTCTGCAATTAGGTCTTTGACAAGGTAATTAGCTAAAAACAAAGATGAATAATAAAAAGTTAATAAGAGGTTATCATATATTGGCTGAGGAAAAGGTTTTGAGCGCAAAAAAAGATATATACATTATAGCTATTGTAACTGTCTAGCTCCATCAAGAGGAATTAAAATGAGATGCATCTCATATATTAGTCTGGTTAAATTTGAAGATACTTTTGAAAAACAATTGCATTTTCTTTAATCAGTCTGTCTTCATATTATTGACAGAGCTAGGTATTGTATTCCTCATGTTAAAACCTTAATACATTGTGGCTCCGCATAAAAAGTATTCTAATGTGGGGGCACCTGCATAGCTCTGTTGGTTAAGGGTCTGACTTCAGCTCAGGTTGTGATCTCTTGGGTCCTAAGATCAGGCACCCTACATTGGGCTCTGTGCTCAGTGGGAGTCTGCTTTTCCCTCTGCCCTTCCCCTGCTTGTTCTTTCTTTCTCTCAAATAAATAAATAAAATCTTTTTTAAAAGAAGTATTCTTGTGGTTACTCCTAGAGACTTAGGAAATGCTGTGAATGTAAGTGGCAAGCCAAGAGTCTAACCTAAATCTGTCAGATTCCAAAGCTCTCAATGATTCTAAATCTCCACAGCTTATTGTTCTTCCTTTCCCACATAGGAATCACTCAAGTTTCCATTTTTCTCTACCTTCTCTGGAGTTAAAAATGTAATCGTGCTATAAGGTAAAGTCCTCTGTCTTCACATTCCATAATCACCTCACTAAGATCTTAACATACATATGCCACTTAATAGAGACCAGAACCACATTGACTTACTTGTTTCAGTAATATTTGTCTACAAAATATTTTCCCAATTATAAATGACAAGTAGTACAGGGCTCATTTATTACCACAAATGATAACAGTAGAAAATTTTATATATATATATCCATCCTCCATGCTTTGGATCTGATCTCACAATCTCAATCAATGAAGCAACTGTAAACAGACAGTACCAATGACCCCTAACCAGTAAGAATTTGAACAGCATACTGCAAACACTCAATTGTATTCATCTGAGTTGTGTTTAGTTTGCAATTATGTGTTTACTTTACTGTAGCTTCTTTTTTTTTCACACCTTTTTGTTTGGAGAAAAGGGTTTTGGACACAAACTGCCTAACAAAATGTGTGCAATTAATACGCTAGGCCTGCGACAAAAAAGAGGGTGGGGAGAGAATAATGCTGGATTTAAAAATCTGGATTTATGGTAGATCAAGATATTTTCTAAGAAATGGTCAGAAGAACAAATGGTAAAGATCATCATGAAATTAGGGATTGTGGAAATGCTGTGACATGGGAGAGAATATATTAAACACACTGTTGCTTGGGAATAATGATTGAAATGGTATAAGTGAAGCTAGAAGAAAATATTACCAGAGAAAAAAATCATGAGTCTAAGAGCTTTGACATTACTAGCATATGATGGCCGAAAGTATCTCCAGAGACACAAGTTCATTTTAATTAATTTGGCTCTCCCATTTCCAGGCTACATCCCCTGTGCTATATGGGGCATGCATGAATTCATTATTTTACTACAATCATCTTTCCATTCTACATGATAGACTCCATAATCCAATTTCTACTACTACTTCTCTTCTGTGCTTCAGTTTAATTATCTCCTACTATTTGTTTTATATTACTCTTTGAATATTTCATTATTAATTCAAATTAAATTAGGCATATCTAAACCCGAAATTATCATCTTCCTCCTTGAAGTCAGCCATTAAGTGTCTGTGTAAGTTAAACTTCTCATCCATATCGTAAGCCAACAAGTACTATGGATTCTTCTTCTTCTTTTTTTTTTAAGATTTTGTCTATTTATTTGACAGAGAGAGTGCACACGCTCAAGAAGGAGGAGTGGCAGGGAGAGAGAGAGGAAGAAGCAGAGTCCCCATGGAGCAGGTAGCCTGATGCAGGCCTCGATCCCAGAACCCTGGGAATCATGACCTGAACCAAAGTTCAGATGTTTAACTGACTGAGCCCAGGCTCCCCATGGCTGCTGCTGCTTTTTTTTTTTTTCTAGGGTTTAAGTCCATTTATCTTTATTTTTTTGTATAAATTTATTTTTTATTGGTGTTCAATTTGCCAACATATAGAATAACACCCAGTGCTCATTCCATCAAGTGCCCACCTCAGTGCCCATTACCCAGTCACCCCCCCCACCTCCCCTTCCACCACCCCTAGTTTGTTTCCCAGAATTAGGATTCTTTCATGTTCTGTCTCCCTTTCTGATATATCCCACTCATTTTTTTCTCCTTTCCCCTTGATTCCCTTTCACTATTTTTTATATTCCCCAAATGAATGAGACCATATAATGTTTGTTCTTCTCTGATTGACTTATTTCCCATGGTTTTTTTTAAGTAAATTTTATACTTGTACCTTCAATTTGTTAGCTAATAACAATACTTTTCTCCATTTCTTATACTCTTCCACTTTATGCAGTCCTTCTCAATCTGTTGACCATATTGCCTACCATATTGAAGAGGAAAATATCCATTTGAGATTCTTTAATTAACTACCCTGTTCATTAAATCTAGTTTTTTTGCACATCATTCTTTACTTCTTTACCCATCTTTTAAGATATAAGTATCATTGCTTTTTACTATATCTTCTTAATCTCTGATTTTTCCTACACTAGGTTCCATTTCCATCAGTTGAATCCCCTCTCCTCTCTTTTATATATTCAAAACTCTGCTATAAAAATGCTTTTTTTCTTAAAATTTTTGTTTCTGTTTCATCTTCCAATAAAATTTCCCTTCATCCATTTCATTCTATTAAGATAGTTTTTTTAACCTTCCTATTACTGCCAAACTTCTGTGAGAAGTAGGTAACTTCTGCAATCCGTTCTCAATCACTCTTTAATCTTTGCAAACTGACTTCTACTTCGGACACTTTTCAGGTCACAAATGGCTTCTCCTACAGTTCTAACTATACATCATCTAAACCTGAAAGTAAAGACACCCTGGAGCAACTTTGTACTTGGAAATAAGGACACAGAAATCATCTTCATTAAGTGATAGCTAAAGATTATGAAACAATTCTTCGCTCAGAATACCTACTTCTCTAGAAGGATTTTATTTCCTCACTCTTGGGGAAACTGTTCTCTTTGGATGAAAATGCCTTATTCTCATCCATTTCCTCTTTATTTATCTAGGTTTCATTATTCCCCTAGTTTCTAGCAATAGCGTCTATCTTTTATTGAAGTCATTTTTGATATTCTCTTCATATACACTATTTTATTCTTTTATTTAAAAAAGATTTATTTATTTATTCATGAGAGACACACACAGAGAGAGAGGCAGAGACACAGGCAGAGGGAGAAGCAGGCTCCAGGCAAGGAGCCTGACGTGAGACTGGATCCTGAGACTCCGGGACCATGCCCTGGGCCAAAGGCAGGCACCAAACCGCTGAACCACGAAGGGATCCCCCCACTATTTTATTCTTTATAGCACATCTGTATTTACCAGTAGAACACTTATATGAAGTGGTGAAAGGATCACAGTTTTGGCATAAACACTATTTCAAAGTAAAAACATTTGAAATCTTATCTGAACTTTCTTTGTCTGACTAAAACAGGGACTCCCTAAAATATAGATTCCATTAACCTTCTTCTGAGGGAATTTCCTGCAAATTCCAGGAAGAAGACAGATTGCCCATCCACTACCATAAACACACACACACACACACACACACACACACACACACACACACACAGTTCCTACTTATTTTTTTTCCTACTTTCTTATTGAAGCTTCAACTGACACCCTGCACACACGCATATACAACTTAAACTGGTATATAAAACTTTGCCCCTGGGTATTCAGCAAGTAACCCCTGCATGCATGTGTAAATAACTTTTCTCCTGTTAATGTCTATTGCCAGCTAAGTCACAGCCACCACTCCCACCCCCTTCAAATATATTTTGTGGGGGGTGGGGGGGAAGGAAAAGTTTTCCTCCCAATAGTGGCATCTGCTGCTCTGTGTTTTCATGGATGTGTCCTTTCTCCTTCACTTCTTCCTCCTTCTTCCCCAATACTTCACTCCCTCCTCCTCCTCTTCCCCTTCTTATAAACATTTTTAATATCTTTGAGAGCAGACATCCTCTTTAATACTATACATTTCTAACACTAGACACAATGACCTAATCACTTTCCTGAAACTTCTCATAAATGTCAAAAATGGACTCCAACTTGCCACATTCAACAAAAGGACATCCTGAAAGGGAGAGAGAGAGAGAGAGAAAGAGAGAAAGATGTTGGAAATTAAATACTGTAAACTGGAAAAGAGAGGTGATTTCCCTAGTTCACAGTCATTCCCTGGTCTCCTGCAAGTGAGACCAACATTACACAGATTGTGATTGGCTGATTGGCTGAGGGTTCAACACCACTGATTTTGGGTGGGCAATCAGAATCCTGTTTTTAGAAATTTGGAATTAGATCTAATAGAAAGATTGAATTTTCTTTAGGTAGCTGGCCAAATATTATTTAAGCTTGAGAGCTTGACTTTCCATGTGTTCTGGAAAACCAAGGGAAATGAGTCAGTAGTAGAAATCAAGGGAAACCTGAGAAGCAGTTAATCTAAAAGATATGAGGTGAGATGCATACAGGAATTTTGGACTGCTTATTCATCTGTGCCTTTAGTACATTCCTGAATCTGCTGAATTCTTACTCTTAAATTCTGTAAGAAATCTCTATATTCTTTAAGAATGTTTCCTTTCTTCTTAAGGCAGCAGGAGTTGGTTTTTGTTAGTTTCAAACCAGATGGTCCTAACTAAATATTCCAACATAACATTGTTATGTTTGTAGCCATCTGCAGTAACTCAGAATCTTGAGTAAGACAGAAAAAAAGCAAAATAATAATTATATCAATAACAATCGACGAAAAGATGTTTTTGGATCATTATTTGTCAATAAATAACAGTTTATATGTAGAAACTCATTTAGTAGCAACTAATGTTTGAAGAACTATTTTTGTTTTGCAAAATAGTTGACAATATCAGTGAAATATAATATTAAACAACTTTAAATAGATTCTAAAACTTTAGAAAAATAAGAAACCATCTGATGAGTTGATAAAAATCTGATTCTGGTTCTATCCATCTCCAGAGACTGATTCAATAGATCTATCTGCTCATCATGCTTAATTCTTGTATAGTTTGTATAATAGGAATGAAGACTATGTATCGGTGCCTATTTTATGTCATAATTTATTCACATTTGAATGACATAGTTTCTGATGGGTAGCATTGACATTTTCATATATATATATATATATTCATATTCATTCATTCATTCATATGCTTTATCTATAATCTTTTTGAAATATACCTTTTGTTTTTAATATGCTAAAAACTTGTTATACTTGCCATCAACTATTTTATGAAAGGAAAGGAAAGTGTCCTGGGGTGAGCTTTGTGAAGGGAGTTCTTAAAAACAATAGCTAAACAAAAGTTAACAAAAGGTTTCCAGCTGTTTTCCTCTTAACTCCACTTCAGGGCAAAATACAGGGCAAAATACTAGTGTTTAATAATGCTTCTTTTAATGTTTTCAGTCTGTGGACTCAAGGCTGTGCAGCCTATACCAGCTTTATGTAGATTTTTATACTTATTTGCAAGGTTGCTTACCATTTGGCATAAAATGAAGTAGTTGCGTTGAGTTATCAATACAAATATTTATATTAAACTTAGTATTAGAAAAAAGCTGATAGGGAAATGCTGTAGTAGTGCTCCAGATCTTCCCTGAATTAGAATTAATGTCAGCTGCATGATACATTTCTCTTATTCTGAAAAATACATGGAAAAAATACTTAGGAGAAAATTATAAGAAAGTAATGCACAGTTTTGCTATAGATTTAAAATATGAAAACAATCATCTGCGGATTTGTGGTACAGTGCTGTTAGGCCAGATTGGTAAAGATTACAATTATACCAAAACAACTGTAAAGGACCATTCTTTAGATTTCCATGAGCATTTCATTTGAAGCAATTAAGAATACATTGTCGTTCATTACACGTGAAAATTCACTTTGAACAATGATTACTTACTTCATTGCTTTTGAAGCCTGAAAACCTCCCTTTGGTTTACCGTAACTTTCTCAAGCTGGAAGTCAGTCATTTTGATGTAAGGATTTTGGTAAATAAATTACCTTGTGTCCAATTGGTAAATACCATTCTTAGCTGTAAACTTTTGGATTTTACACAAATATCTGGATTTTATATAAATAATTTAGCCCAGAAGTCATTTGTACTAACTGAACAATTCCTTATTGTGCAAATGAGTCAGAGAATTGCAAATAGTTTTTCCTTGGACCCAGAAGCTTTGAGCTTGAATCCTGACTCTTCTATGTAGTAGTTTTATGGTCAGAGGCAAGTTGTTTGACCAGTTTCTTTGGTTTGTACAAATGAGGATATTTATATCTGCTTCAACAGTTTATTGCAAGGATTAAAAGTGAAAAGGCATGTAAAAGATTTTTGTAGAAAGTAAGCATATACTCATGTGATATAACATAATTATCATTATATATTATTATAGCTAAATCCTTGCTGATCCATATTACTGCCCTCATTAGAATATAACATAAGATTATTTTCAACTTAGTTGATTAAGATGCCTTTGATGATGAATATGAAATCATGGGGTTTTTTTGTTGTTGCTGTTATGTAGACATCTAAATTTTGTAGTGCTATTCTCAGAGAAAGTTATACATTCTGTGTATAGAATGTATGCTATGCATTCTATGTATTCTACCAATATGAATTACATCCTGGGCATTTATTTTATTTGTGCAGCATTAAAGTAGTGCCAGGCTCAGTGAAGTAGCTTAATCTCCATATCTGCTCTTAAACCGCGCAGAAACATCCCCTCCTTGAGAGGTCTGACAAATGAAAAAATTCAGGGCTAGAATGCATCAGAACCACCTTTTCTGAGTCCCATCTTCATACTTGATGATTCCATAAATCTTACATAAATCCTCACATAAATGTAAGGAATCTTCACATTTTCCTTACTAACATTAGTTTCCCAAGTAAGTCATTACAGCTGCTGCTCCAGCACTAGTTTGAGAACCCATTGTTCAGGTTAAAGAGATAGGCCACTTTCCTTTGTTATACCTATGATAAAAGCCTAGACTCCATTGCTGATTGAGGAGCTTTATGATTTAGCAGTCACCATATGATAGGATGCTCTTCATGCATACATGAGTTAAACTTCTACTGTTTGGGGGAATTAAATTTAAAATGCAAATTAATGACTTATTTTCTCCTAAAACTTTGCTAAGTATCTATTATGACCAAAAATTTTCATATGCTCTGCAATCGTATTGTATTTTTTTTACAAAAATATGAAACATTCTTTGAAAGATGTGACTTAAAAATATGTCACAACAAGAAACCAAATCCAACAAATTAGCCTCTAAAAGGTGTATGACAGGAATATCAATAACTTTTTAAGGTATGGTTATTTAAATATTAGACAAAAAAAAAACAGATGAAATTGGATACATAAATCCATCCTATTGTGACTCTCTTATGAAACTTGGCTTTCAAACTCAATTTGGTTTTGGTCTTCTCTTGAATTATTAAGAGCCTTGGGTGCCTAGTACAGAGTAGATCCTCAGAAATAGTTGTTGAATGAATAGTGTGTTTGTGTACAAAATAATTATGCATCTATAAATTTAATAATTTTATTTATATATATATATAAATCAGAAAATATTACTGAAAACCAAGATAAGTGTGTATGAATATAACCTATATCTTCCTTTCACTACTATAAAGTTTGTTATTGTTTGATTGTCTGTTTTAGTTCTCATGGTTTTTTGAAAGGAACCATTGAGAGAAATTACATTTAAGAATTCAGAAAATGCACTATGAGTTACTGAAAAACCATCATATAAACCATCACAATATTTTGTGTCACTATGGCATCCACAAGATTTCAGCTAAGAATATTATGTTTAAAAAAAGAAGTGATGGGAAGGACTAGTAATAAGGGTTTTGTCAGTGGATTTATACTGTGTAATATCTTGTGATATTAAGAGAGCTATTTTTCATGCTCAGGGTAGAAATGATCACATCTTAGATTTAAAGTGTCAGTTCCTTGTCAGTTTGTGACAGTGAGTAGTTTATTCTTAAAAGAATCAATATTGATATCTTTAAAAATCCTAATTTAGGAATCCAAAGAGTCATTTAAATTTTTTTCTGTGAACAAGAGTGAGACATTAATTAAATATTAAATATATTCATGGATTTGAGCTACTCATTTTGTTTTGTTCCTCTGTGTGCCTTTTAATTCTTCCAATGCGGTTACAAGTTTTTTAGGGCAGAGACCTTGCTTTTTTTTTTTTGTTCCTTTTGAGTATCTCTCACACATGAGCTAGTTATTAGGCATTCAAATAGCCTTTAAATTAAAGACTAAATAAATGATTCCTGTTTTTAATAACAAATGATTATTTAGTAGTAAACTGCTATAGCTGATAAATAAGTTATAGTTCACTTATATGTATATTATTTTAAAAACAGTTATAAGTAGATAAAAATCAAGAGAATGAAATATAAATGCACTAATTTTTCAAAACTTTCAAGAACCTTAGCAATAGAAGAAATTGTGTTATATAAATTTTAACTGTGAATGAGAAATTGGTCTTAAAAAAAGGCATCTATAATTATATTATAAGTTCATTTAAAACGAGCAGAAAGGGCATCAGTGTTTTTGTAGTATCCCCTAGTGAACAAATTTGTTTTTCAGTGGACAAATACCCATGCATTTGCTCATTTTTTGGCAGTTCATTCAAGGTAAGATTGAACTTTGAAGAAGGCACTCTCATCATTTAAGTAGTATATTCTAGGTAAGAAGGATAAATCTATGCTAATTTAGGACAGAACCAGATAAGTCAGTCAATTATGTGTTAAATGAGAAACTAATCCATTGCAAACTAAACAGTCAATAAATAGCAAGGGCAAGTCTGAAACTATGAAACATTTAGCTTTAACTGAATTCTCAAGAGAATACAATTATTTGATTAAAAATAACAAAAACAATACCAGAAGTTAATGAACTAATTTGTCATAAATTTATATTTTTCACTATGTTAAACAATTACAAAAAACTTTAACATTTTATATTCAAAATTAATCAGTTCAGTGATGTTAAATTAAAATAGACAAATTTATGATGGTACAGAAATTTCAAAGTTTAATGAAATAGCAACACTCACTTTTTCACTTTATTGCAGAAGGAGGCCAGATCCTTATTAGTACCTTGAGGTACTTCAACTAGCTGAGAAGAACAACCTGTCAGCTTAAAATAAAAAGTGTTAAATTAAGATAGTTTGATGTGGAGAAAACATTAATACAAGTCTACCATTTTTATTTTATTTTAAAGATTCTGTTGGGAAGGAAACCCTTCCTCTGCACTATGGTCCTGCTAGCTGAACTTAGATTGACACAAGACAGAATAACAGGAGAAAATCAAATTTCACGGGCATATGTATGGGGAAACCACACAGACAGGAGATTCCAAAGACAATGAGGCAACATGAAGCCTATTTGAGCTAAAAGGAGCTGATAGGGACCCTAGAATACAAAAGGGAGGAAAGTCCTTAGCAAGAAGGTAAAAGATGTTCGAAAAACAAAGCTTGTTCCTTAAGAAAGGGGAGTCCCTGTCGTTAGCTCTCTTCCTGTTGCAGGCTCTCCTTTCCAATGTAAATTAAAGCAGTTATTGTGGAAGCAGAATTTTTCCTGCATCTGCTGGAAACCTGAAACTTTCTTAATGCCTTTCGAGCATCTCATCCTGCATCCCTTCAATTCATTGTTTTTATTTGGATTTTTTAAGCGAAGTAATGTCTATAGAAAAATTTATGAACCTTAAATACATAATTTAAGTTTGAGGAATGTTGACAACCATGCTACCAATATCACACAAAAAAATATAGAACATTTCCATTATTTTAGAAAATGCCCCCATACTTCCTTCTCTCACACTGTACATGCATTTGGTAACCATGTTATTCAGATTTCTAACATCATAGATTAACTATATGTGCCTTTTTCTTTCTGGTTTCGTTCACTTAAATGTTATATATATTTTAAAACTTATCTGTGAGGTCACACATCAATGGTTCATTTTTTATTGCCAATTTTTACTGTTGATGAATATTTCATGATTTGTTTATCCATCTTCCTGTTGATGAGTATTTGGGTTCATATTTTTTAAAGAAAACTATTAATTTTCATATATAAGTATTTATATGGACCTATGTTTTATTTCTTGTGAATAAATCCATAAATGGCTCAATCAGAAAGTAGGTTTATGATTAAAAGAAGTAATTTTTGCTTTATATATATTGAATCTGTTATTAGGGTACATAGCAAATTTGAGTTTATTGTGTCTTCCTGATTGATCCTATTGTCATTATGAAATAATTATGATAATAATAATAATACTCTGCCTTCTGCACTTTTTCTGGTACTAAGAATTGACTTTTTGCTTCCTGACTGAATGCTAAATCTTTTTATTCTACTTTCAACTTATTTGTGCCTTTCTAAAGTTTGTCTCTTGTAGATAGTAGTTTAATCTTTCTTTTTTATCTAGTTTGTCAATTTCTCCCTTTTATTTGGAATGGTTAGTCTATTTATATTGAGTATATTTATTGATATTGTTGGATGTAAGACTGCCATACTCATTTTTGTTTCTATTTGTTTCTATTTTATTCTTCTATTTTTTCCTTCCCTGCCTTTTGTTTTGTTTGTTTGTTCATTTGATTTTTTTCTATTTCATTTAATTTCTCTGTTGGATTTTTAGTTTTTCTTCTCAGTATTATTTTTCTAGTGGCTGTACTAGCTTAGAAATGACAATATGCATCCTTAAACACATCACAGTGTACTTAGAGTTAATACTCTACCACTGCATTTACAATGTAAGAATTCACAGTAGCAGGTTAACATTTACCCCTTCCCTCCTTTATGGTATTGTTATATATTTTTTATCTATCGATTGAGAGTTAAAATAACTCTCAATAAAATGCTGTTGTTTTGCTTTAAACAGCTTTCTAATACTGAAAATATAATACCTGAAATGAAAAATCACTGGGTGTTCTTAAAAACAAATAGAAGATGACAGGGAGGAAGATAATAAACTTTTAAGAAAAAAAGCTGTTTACTAATATATTCACCACTTGAACTGCTCTTCATTCATTTCTAGATACCATCTGGTATCATTTTCCTTGCATCCAAAGCATTTACTTTAGTATTTCTGTGTACATGTTAGCTAACTAATTTCTGTCAATATTTATTTATATGGGGCAGCCCGGGTGGCTCAGCGGTTTAGCGCCGCCTTCAGCCCACGGTGTGATCCTGGAGACCTGGATCCTCCTTGCATGGAGCCTGCTTCTCCCTCTGCTTGTGTCTCTGTCTCTCTCTCCTGTTTCTCATGACTAAATAAATAAAATTTTTAAATATATATATATATATATTTGTTTATATGATATATTTATTTCATTTTGAGTTTTGAAGTGTATACTTAATGGATACAAAAGTATATAGAGAGATATATAGGTTTGTAATGGATCTATATATAGATATATCTATATGTTACATAGATATAGGTATGTGTCTTTTAAAATGTCATCCCATTGTTGTCTGGCTCCTTTCTTCTGATAGAAATTTGCTTTAATTCAGATTGTTATTCCACTGTGTGAAATCAGTTTTCCCTCACTGCTGTCCTTTATGATTTTCTGTTTACCTTTTGTTCACAGATGTTTGAGTATAATTTGTCTACATGTGGTTGTCTTTGTATTTATTGTTTGGGACTTGTTGAACTTCTTTGGATCTGTAATTTGACATTTTATAGCAAATTTGAGAAATAGACCATTATTTCTTCAAGTTAGTTTTCCTCCCTAGTTTTCTTCTCCTTTTCTGCTAGCATTCCAGAATTGTCCATATAAGGCTCCTTGCCCCATAAGTTTCTAAGTCCTTGCTTATTTTTATATAATCTTTTTATTTTCTCCTCTTTAGTTTGGATAATTTTTCTTATTTTTCTTTCAAGTTTATTATCTTCCTCCCTGTCATCTTCTGTTTTTAAGTACACCCAATGATGTTTCATTTCAGATATTATATTTCCAGTGCTAGAATTTCCATAGTCTTTGTTTTCTTTGTAGTTTCTAACTTCCTCCTGAGATTCTTCATTGGTCTACACATTATCTCCATCTTTTACTTTCTCTCTACGTCAACATTCTTTTAGTTAACCACCTTAAAGTCTCTATCTGTTAATTTCAACATCTGGACTATGTCAGAATTTGTTTGTATTGACTGGGTTATTTTCTTGATTATGGGTCAAAATTCCTTGCTTCTTATATGTTAAGGATTGTAGATGACATGTTGCAAATTGTGTTGTCTTTTTTAAAAAGTATACAATTTTTCTCTGGAAGGCAGGTAAGATACCTTGGTCTCCTCAGCTTTGTTTTATTTTTTGTTAGGATACATCTATTTTTGGTAGTAGCTGCCCATTCATTATAAAGTATTTGTTTTATATTCTTAAGAGATAACTTTGGATAATCTCAGTTGAATGCCTGAAATACCCACTCAGTGTCTTTCTAGGTTAGAACTTCAGCGCTACATAACTTACATTTGTGTGTGGTGAATACCATCACTTGGCCAAAAATCTACAGTAAATCTCATGCAGATTTTTGACTCCCACTCATTGAGCAGCTGGAACTGCACTCTGTCATGGAAATGCAGGCTCTGCCTTCTCAAGCTTAGTGATAATGCTGCTCATTTGGGCTCTACTATTCTGCTCTACTAGCAAGAAAGTGTCCCCAACCAGAACCAAGGATGATCATGCAACACTCTGGTGTTTCCCCTCTCTCAAGGAATCTGTCCTTTACTGCCTTGTGTTCAGTGCCTGAAATCAGGAGACGTTAATACTAGTTATTCTGCTCTGATCAGAAATAGACGTCCTAAAATTCATTCTTTTAATTCATATCAGTTGACTTGCTACCTCCTCTGCATATGCCTCAGACAGAATTAGGTATTTCTTCTCTTGTGGACTCATTCTATCTGTTATTTTACTCTGTTGCCATTATTTGTTGACAAGTTAATTTGAGCAATATGCTATTTCTGAAATCAAGTATCATGTCTTTTCTTTGCATTCATTATACCTAGTATATCATGTATATTTTAAGAATATGATAGTTCTTGAATAAATGAGGAATCCTTTTGCTTCACCCTGTAAATTGTAGCTGCAATGATTTTTTTTTAAACTGCGTACTTCCAGTTTCACTTGCGTCTAGACTCAGTGTAAGCAAAGAAATATTCAAATATTATACAAGAAACTCTATGGTGACTAAATTGGTTGGAAAACTACTGATGAAACCATTAGGGTAAATTGCACAATGATTGCTTAATTTCCTACTCTTGGAATGATCCCAATAGAAGATGCCTGCCAAAAGTATAATTTAGGAGCTCTGGGCAAAAGGACATTTTTCCTACCATAATGACATAGTTTTAATTTATGACTGTATGACTCAAAATATAGATCTAATGAGATGTATGTGTGTTTCTGTACGTGCATAATAACACAATAAGAACCAAAAGTACTTTTATCAGAGCTTCCAATTATGATGTTTTTATCCAATAAAATGTAAAGACTATAACATTTTATTTAGTTTTGACCAAACTGGAGCTTTAAAAATGATATAAAATTTTAATTTTTCTTCTTCAGAAAAAAAGTCATTAATTTAAGAACATAGAATTTATAAATAATAAATTATTTTTTCAAAAATAATATTAATACATTTTCTTATTTAAGATGAGTTACCCTGATTACCAAATTAATCCAATACATTATTGAGTGATTCTTTCAGATTCTTTTTTTTTTTTTAGGTCAACATACAGGACACATACCTCTATATTCTTTGGCCATGTACTTTCCCTGGCTCTGGGTAAAAAAGAACCTTCAAAAAGCATCAGGGAATGTTGCACAGTGCTCATATTTCTATTTCTTTCATTCTCTTCTTTTGGCATGAAATCAGTTGAGAAAGATGGATACATAGAAGGGATGCTACTTTCAAATCCTATGTGGTAGTTAGGATTTTCATTTTCTAATTCTCTCTGTGAATTAATTTCATGCAAACTAGTGGATGATGAAGCTAAAATATTGAATCTGTAATCATCAGCACCTTGATATTTTCCTATAGGGTTTCCCCAAGAGCTTCCTTTGTTCGTGTTTTCAGGATTTTGTAGCACAGAGCTCCTAAAACCAATTACTGGTGTTTTCCTAATTTGGTGACAGGAGAGTTCTGAGCTTTTAGCAGTTAATTCATTCAATGATATTTGGTGTGTTTCATCTAACGAATGCCTTCTTGAATCCCAGGTTGGTGCACTAGGTACAAAAATAGTGTTTTCTTCAATGTCAGTCTGATAGAGTGGAACTTTATTACTAATCTCATCTACTAGTTGATCAAAACCCAGACTGACTTGGTTAGGAGAAAGGAACTGATTTACAGAGTGAAATTCTTGGTGCTCATGCTGCTCTTGATGTGATTCACTGGTATTTAGATCTGTTTTCCAACAATAGGCCATTTTTTATTTTATGTAAGAGAGGATTGATTCTTCTCCAGATATCTACTTGATGATATTATAAAAGAGGATAGGAATTTTCCTAGAAAAAAGCATAAAAAGAAACAAAATTCTTTGATTAATTAGAAATAAAAGAACTTGCAAGAAACAAATATATGAATAAATATAAACAGTTGTTTTTGCAGCTATCCTTAACAAAAGAAATGACTCTTGAATAATATAAAACTCCATCAGGGCTCACAACATTAAAGTCTGTTGGGGGAGTATTGACTTAAGATTTGTGAAACTCCTAAAAGACAAAAATAAGTCCCCTTGAATTATGACAAGAATTTCATGAATCAGCCCGAAGTTAATATTACCCTTTGAACTCCTTTTCCTACTGAAGATCCATTTGCCTATAACATTATTATCTCCCTCTATATTCAATCATTTATAAGTATGCTAGTATTAAAGTCTCTTGTTAGCTAAACAGCCTCTTCTTGATCAGCAATTCCTCCATTCCTAAACATAGTCTCAACTTTTTTTTCCTTTTATAACCAATTGTCTTGCAGGTTGGCTAGACCCTCTCTTTCCCTTCCCAAAACTCTTTCAACAATTGCAAACTTCTTTCATTACTTCTCCAAAATGACTTTCATTAGGTTCACCAATGAGCATGTCAGTAAATTCAGTTGACATTCATCAGTTTCTATTTTACTTTCTCTCTCTGCAGTACTTGACTCCATTCACCATACTTATCATTTAAAATTTTTTGCTTTTTTATTTTGGCTCCCTATGATACTATACCCTCTGAGTCCTTCTTTGTTTAGAGTCTCAGAGACTCCTTTGCCTATTACTCATTTTCCACCTCACCTTTGTCAGAGCTTCTTTACTTCTCAATTATTCTCTCCTTGTAAGTTATTTCATACTTCTTGTGGTTTAAAATACCATTTATGTGTTAATGACTCCAACTAGACTATTCTTGCTATTACCTTCTTGATGTCTCCACTTGTAGATTTTTTAAACCTCCAAGAGAAGGTCCAAAACTTGTATCATAGTTCACCCAAGAACCTACTCCTGTTCTAGTGTTGTCTGGTACAGAAAATGACTTGACCATCCACTCAGTTGCTCAGACCAGAAGCCAGAGTTTCATCTTTGAATCTTCCCTCATCTTTATTCTATATCAAATAAATTACCAGTTCCTGTAGAAAAATCTTTCTTTTCTTGTCTACCACTGCCACAATCTTAAGTCTTAAGCTTTTATCTTCAACACACACCTAGAATGTGGTGGTGTCTCTGAAACTGTTTCTACATTTTCACCCATTTTTGGGTCCTATAATCCATTTTTTAAAATATTATAATGATATATATAATATAAAGAGACTAAACAAGTATCTCCTCTGGATATACCTTTTCAGTGGTTTTCCTCTTGCCTCAGAATAACATCTGTATATATACATGTATACATGTTACATATGTAAGATTTCTCTTTCCCATTAGATCATTAGACCATGTTAACCTTTCTCACCTAGTATTTTGCTTTACTCAGAGTAGTTACACATTTGTATTTGTTGAACAGATAATTTAATAAGTTAAAAATTTCTAATTGAGTTATAAGAAAACAAAATTGAAAAGTATTTATGTCACTTTTGTGAATTTATTAATTCCCTTAACAATTATATCTTTGTGTATTAAAGAGTACAAAAGGATAATTATGATAGTGGTGCACTATAGAATATGAATATCTTTTTCTTAAGATTTTATTTATCCATTCATGAGAGACACACAGAGAGAATAAGAGAGGCAGAGACACAGGCAGAGAGAGAAGCAGGCTCCATGCAGGGAGCCCGATGTGGCACTCAACATGGTCTCCAGGATCACGCCCTGGGCTGAAGGCAGCACTTAACCGCTGAGCCACCAGGCTGCCCTAGAATATGAATATCCATGTTTTGCGATGGCAATTGATTTTTTATTCTATTGGCACTAAGGTTTACTTAAAACTCATAATAGCCCAAGAAATAAATGAATTAGATTTATTATTCTGCTTTACTCAAGAAATTGAACTAATAAATTTGTCAAAAAATTTCCGTTCAATGCAAAGATTGAACTGATAGATTTGGAAAATAATTTCAAGAGATGTAAATAAGAAGTGTATAGAATGAAGTGTTAACCAAAAACATTAATCTATAAAATGTTATTCCAAATTGTTCTAATTCATAGGTCACATCTAGACAACAATCTTTTTTTCAGGAATTGCTATTTTAAAAATCTTCATGTTAATAGTAAATACTGTAGTTCATTAAAACAAATGAAACTCAGGGCACCTTGATGGCACAGTCAGTTAATGTAGAACTCTTGGTTTTGGCTCAGGTCGTGATCTCAGAATCATGAGATTGAGGCCCACATTGGACTCCCTGCTGGGCTTACAGCCTGCTCGGGATTCACTCTCCCTCTCATCCCTCCTGCTCATGCTGTCTCTCAAATAAATAAATAAATAAATATTAAACAAAACAAAATGAGACTCTTTCATCTGACTCTGTCATGAAACTCAGGATTTGTCAGCAGGTGTGACTTTAATTCTGACAACTAGAGTTAATATCCTGTTGCAGTTTTTCTTAGCCCAACCTGCTCTTAACCCAGTTTGCTCTGTCTTAGCTTAAATATCGTAAAGGTGGCTATATTCAGGTGATTTTAATAAAGTGATAAATAAAACCCAAACCTAGGAAAGGAAGGAAACAAGACAGATTAGACCAGAAAGAAGTGATATATAAACTAAGAAAACAAAACAATAATATAAATCAATGAAACCAAGAGCTAGTTCTTTGTAAAGATCAACAAAATTGATAAACCTCCAGCATGACTTATCAAAAGAAACAGAGAGAATGCAGATAAACAAAATCACTAATGAAAGAGGAGAAATAATAACCCTATAGAAACACAAACAGTTGTAACAGAAAGTTATGAAAACCTTGTGCCAACAAATTGGGCAAATTAGAAGAAATGGATAAAGCCCTAGAAACATATAACCTACCAAAACTAAAGCAGGAAGAAATAGAAAATTTAGCAGACCAATTACCAGAAATGAAATTGAATCAGTAATCAAAAAACCCCCCCCAAAAAAAACCCAAAAATCCAGGACCAGATGGCTTCACAGCAAATTCTACTAAACATTCAAAGAGTTAATATCTATTCTCAAGCTATTCCAAAAAATAACAAGAGGAAGGAAAACTTCTATATTCACTCTATGAAGCTAGTATCACCCTGATACCAAAACCAGATAAAGACAACCTGATACCGAAACCAGATAAGGACAACAACAACAACAAAGAGAACTATAGGGGTGCCTGGGTGGCTCAGTCTGTTAAGTGTCTGTCTCAATTTCAGCTCAGGTCATGATCTTAGGGTCCTGGGATTGTGCCCTGCAATAGGCTGTATGCTCAGCGAGGAGTCTGCCTGAGGATTCTCTTTTCCCCTTCCTCCATCCCTCCCCTGCTCCTATTCTCTCTCTCTCTCTCTCTCTCTCTCTCTCTCAAATAATCTTTTTTTTTAAGAGAACTACAGGCCAATACCTCTTAAGAATATAGATGCAAATATCCTTAACAAAATATTAGCAAACTGATTTTGACAATACATTAAAAAACCATACATCATTATCAAGTGGGATTTATTCCCAGAATAGAAGGCTGGTTCATTATTCATAAAACAATCAACATGATATGTCACATCAATAACATAAAGAATAAAAACCATATGGTCATTTCAGTAAATGCAGAAAAAGCATTTGATAAAGTACAACAGGCATTCATGATAAAAAAAAAAACACCTCTGTAGAGTAGATCTGAAGGTAACATACCTCAACATGATAAAGACCTTATATGAAAAACCCACAGCCAACAGCATACTCAATGAGGAGAAACTGAGAGCTTTCCCCAAAGGTCAGGAACAAGATAAGGATGTCCACTCTCAACATTTTTGTTCAACATAGTAGTAGAAGTTCTAGGTACAGCAATTAGACAACATAAAAAAAAAGGCATCCCAAATGGTAAGAAAAAGGTAAAACCCTCACTATTTGTAGATTACATGATACTGTATATAGAAAACCCTAAAGACTCCACCAAAAAACTACTAGAACTGATAAATGAATTCAGTAAAGTCACAGGATACAAAGTCAATGTGCAGAAATCTGTTGTATTTCTATACACTAAAGATGAAGCAGCAAAAAGTGAAATCAAGAAAACAATCCCACTTACAATTGCACTAAAACCAACAAAATATCTATGAATTGACCTAATTAGATTAAAGACCAGTACTCTAAAAACTATAAAACACCAATGAAAGAAATTCTAGATGATGGAAAGATATCCATTTCCAAAGAAATGGAAAGATGTTCCATGCTCATGGGTTGAAAGAACAAATATTGTTAAAATGTTTATACTATCCAAAGCAATCTACACATTTAATGTAATTCCTATCAAAATATCAACAGAATTTTTTACAGAACTACAAAAAAATCTTAAAATTTATTTGGAACCACAAAAGACCTTGAATAGCCAAAACAATCTTGAAAAAGAAAAAGCTGAAGGTATCAAAATCCCGGATGTTGTTATGTTGCAAAGTGGTAATAATTAAAAGAGTATGGTACTGACATAAAAATAGACACATAGATCAATGGAATAGAAGAACAAACCCAGAAATAAACCAACAGTTACATGGTCAGGTAATCTATGACAAAGGAGGAATGAATATTCAGTAGGAAAAAAACAGTCTCTTCAACACATGGTGTTGGGGAAACTGGAGCCCATTCTTTTACCATACACAGAAATAAATTCAAAATGGATTAGACACCTAAATGTGAAACAATAAAAATTCTTGAAAAGAACATAGGCAGTAAACTCTGTGACATCAGATATAGCAACATTTTTCTAGATAAGTCTCCTGAGGCAAAGGAAACAAAAGCAAAAAATAAATTATTGGGACAGTGTCAAAAAAATTTTGTACAGTGAAGGGGACAAACAAAACTAAAAGGCAACCTACAGAATGGGAGAAGATATTTGCAAATGACATATCTGATAAAGGGTTAGTATCAAAAATATATAAAGAACTGATACAAGTTAACAGCCTAAAAACAAATAATTCAATTAAAAAAATGGGTAGAAGGCATGAAAAAACATTTCTCTAAAGAAGACATCCAGATGTCTAGATCCAGAAAGACATCTAGATCCAGACACTCGTCTATTATTAATAACATCACTCATTACCAAGGAAATGCAAATCAAAACTACAATGAGATATCACCTTGTTCCAGTCAGAATGGCCAAACTCAAAACTGCAAGAAACAAGTATTGACGAAGATGTGGAGAAAAAAAAAATCCTCTTGCAGTGTTGGTGGGAGTCTGAACTGGCGCAGCTCTGTGGAAAACAGTATGGAAATTCCTCAGAAGGTAAAAATAGAACTATTCTACGATCCAGCAATTGAACTATCAGGTATTTACCCCCAAAATATGAAAACATAAATTCAAAGGGATAGATGCATCCCCCATTTATTGTAGCATTATATAAAATACCTAAACTATGAGTGCAGCCCAAGTGTCCATCAGTTGGGGACACTCAACTCATATATTTTATATGAGTTTTATATTACATATATATATATCACCTTTTCATATATAACCCCTCCCTGGTGGTCTAGTGGTTAGGATTCGGCGCTTTCATATATGTACAGTGGAGTACTATTCAGCCATAAAAAATGAAATCTTGCTATTTGTAACAACATGGATAGAACGAGGAATATAATGCTAAGCAAAATGAGGCAGAGAAAGACAAATACCACATGATTTCACTCATATGTGGAAGTTAAACAAAACAAGCAAAAGAAAAAAGGCAAACCAAGAAACAGATTCTTAACTATAGAGAACAAACTAATGGTTGCCAGAGGAGAGGTTGGTGAGAAGTTAGGGGAAATAGAGGTTGGAAATTAAGGAGTATACTTATCATAATGAAAAAAATGATTAAAAAAATTAAAAATTTAAAAAAAATATTTTTTTCTTTAACATAAAAAATGATTTTATAATTTTTTGTGGCTTGAAAGAACTGATTGTTTTTTTTAATTATTTCTTAATTTTGTAGATCCATTAAAGGAGGTCTTTAAAGATCAGTAGTCTGATACTGAAGTTAAAGATTCCTTTAGGCTTTACCATTTGCTTTTGTTCATAATAATAATGATACCTAATATTTTTAAGAGCAACTCTGTGCCACTGTCTATATACATGTATTACCTTAACTTGTGATATTATTATTGCCACTTAACAAATGAGAAAGCTGAAACACAGAAAAGTGAATCAACTTACCCATAGTCTCCAAGTTTGTGCTTACAGATTTGTTTTGAGCAAAGATTAAAGAGAGACATATAGATGATTATATCATAATAATATCATATCTGGAGCATGCCTGAATGTAGGCACTGCAACACAGCATTAACTCAATTCAAACTATCTCTATGGAAAAGAGCTGAAAACTTTTAAATTTTTATTAATAACAATGTTTTTTCAAGCATTTCTCACAGTGCTAAAACTTGAAATGGGTTAGAGGCTTTTCAGAAAATCTTATTATCATGAGATAAAGGAGAATGAGAAATACTTATCTATATTGAAAATGTAATAAAAACAAAACTTCTCCCAGATTCACTTTTTTCAATGTTAAATTTAGTGATTTTAAGGAATGTCTAGTAATTTTAAATCCTATCCTTACCATCACAGTCTAGAAGGTAAATTATTTCTTAGTTTATAAAAAAATAGAAACATTATTTAGTACCAGCTGGCAAATGTGTACACTCTGCATTATGAAGTAATGAATAAAATAATTGAAAGTCATATACCTTGACTTTGAAGCAGAACTGTACATACAGATTAGAAGCAATTACAGCATAATTGAGAGGACATGGCTCTCTGTTCCTGATTTAAATAAGACTCTTCAGAACTAAAACACAAAACAAAACAAAACAAAAAACAATGTGTAAGAGGCCCAGCAATGCTCTCCCCGCCCCTGTGCAGTTCCATGTCTTAATACATGAAACCCGTGAATATGTTAGGTTATTTGGAAAAAAGAATTAAAGGTTGCAGATGGATTAGGTTTCCTAATTAGCTGACCTTAAAAGAGGGTTACCTGGGTGGGCTCAGCATAATCACAAGAATCTCTAAAAGTGGAAGAGGGAGCAGAAGAGAAGGTCAGAGTGATGTGATTTGAGAAAGACTCAACCTGCTTTTGCTGGCTTTGAAGACAGAAAAAAGGACCCATAAGCCAAAGAATTTGAACAACCTTTAGAAGCTAAAAAGGACAAGGAAACAGATTTTCCCCTAAAAGCCTCCAGAAAGAGACACAGCCCTTCTAACACTTTGATTTTAGTACAGTGAGATCAGTGTTATATTTCTGACCTACAGAGTTGTATGATAAATTGTTTTGTTTTAAGCACTAAGTGTGTAATCATTTGTTACAGTAGCAATATAAAATCAATACAATATGCAAACTGGAAGCTGCTTCCTAAATTGAATGGAAAATTAGAGGCTGGAAGTATAGCTGACGGCACAAAAACAGTCCTCTATTCTTTGTTGGTATGTTCAGTTAAATTCAAATGGGATATTTAAAAGATGTTAATAATGAACTTAGTTTAAGCAAGTGCTTATAACCTTCCATTCAATTCAACTTTTCAGAGATCATTTTTTTTTATTGATGGTTAATTACTCATCTGCTCTCAGGAGAAAGTACAGACAGAATTTAGGCACCTATCAGAGAAAGGGCAGCCCTTGCCAGCTACTTCCATTTTCTAAATTTACAAAAGTGCAGGTATCATCCAAATAGCCCCTGTATTCAGAATGGGAACAAAAATATTTATTTTACAAAAGAACAAAAAATGTCTGAAGATGTCTGTTCTTGATTCCAAAAGTCCTGGCTGTATTGCTGAATTAGTGTATCTGCAGGGGAGACATGAGAAAATGGATGACAGAAATTTATTACAAAGTTGAAGAAAAATGATTTTATATCAGATAGCAAATCGTAGGCATTGAAAATTTACCAGTTTTTAAAAAATATATAAACGTCATAGAAGATAATGATTGTTTCAACATAAGACATGTCAAAGTCTAATCAAGCCAAACCATCTGTATTCTCTACGATGGAAGGAATGTCTATAGACTATGGAGCTAACCTGGTTCCTGAAAAAACTTCCCATCTTTCTTCATCTGCTGAGCCAATTATATATATCACAGAGGCAGAGACACTCATATTTTAGCTAGACATAAACTTGAACTTTCTCAGCTCAATTTTCTATATGAATATAGAGAAGATCACAACCAATTTTATTTTATTTTTAAAGATTTTATTTATTTATTTATTCAAAAGAAACACAGAGAGAGGCAGAGACAGGCAGAGGGAGAAGCAGACTCCATGCAGGAAGCCCGATGTGGGACTTGATCCCAGGATTCTGGGATCATACCCTCAGCCAAGGGCAGACACTCAACTGCTGAGCCACCCAGCAGTTGTGGCTAGCGTCACACAGTGTAGGCATCCCCACAACCAATTTTATATATAAATATATATTTATAAAATTATGTATATATGTAAAATTTATATTATGTCTAATTAGGAATTGGGTGTTGAGGTAAATGTATTACAATTATTATTATTATTATTAATTATTATTAGCCCAGGTATTATTTTCACCTAAGGGAAGATATGAGGTGCTTGATAAAAACATCAATCTCCAGAAGTCTCTAGGTGCCTTTTTACATAAACAATTGACATTTACTTATACACATATAATCCAATAGAAGCCTCACTTCTCATTAGACTGCCTAAGATTCTTATATATGAATATCTGAAACTATTATTTATTTTTATTTGTGGGAGGTATTGACTTAAATGAACTCATTTATTCATACATCTACAGTTGGCGCTTGAATAATGCAATCGCTAGGGACACTGACCTCTCCGGCAGTCAGAAATCCACATTTAAGTTTTGATTCCCCCAAAATATCTACTAATAGCCTACTGTGAGCTGGAAGCCTCGCGAATAATGTAAATGGTCAATTAATACATATTGTTATCAAGAAAATCATAAGAAAAAGAAAGTACATTAACAGTACTGTACTGTACTTATTGATGTAAAAAGTTTAGGTAGTTTGGTTAAAAAAATGAAGCCTCAGGCAGCCTGGGTGGCTCAGCGGTTTAGTGCTGCCTTCAGCCCAGGGTGTGATCCTGGAGTCCTGGGATCGAGTCCCACGTCGGGCTCCCTGCATGGAGCTTGCTTCTCCCTCTACCTGTGTCTCTGCCTCTCTCTCTCTCTCTCTCTGTGTGTGTGTGTCTCTCATGAATAAATAAATAAAATCTTAAAAAAAAATGAAGCCTCTGTCAGAACCTACATCAAATATTGTCTCATGTAATACAAAACACTGTAGATGTTATACATATTACTAACAATGGATAAAAGATAATGTGAAAAACAAATTCATATTTATTTACAGATACAATGATTCATACATTGGTAACAAAAATGCAGCAATATGATTGCTTTATAATAGCCTAGTATAATCAATATAGTTGCTTCATGGTAGCCTAGCATATATACTGATGAATGAGTCATTATAAAATTTTTATAGCATACAGCATTAAATTCATATAATACAGTATAGGAAACATTGTTACTTTTTAAATTATTACTTTTTAAAGATTTATTTATTTGGGAGAGGGAGAGAGAGTGCGCACACACACACACACACACACACACACGTGAATTGGGAAGGGGTAGAGGGAGAGAATCCCCAGCTGACTCTATGCTGAGCATGGAGCCCAGTGTTCAGTGACCCATCAGATCATGACTTGAGCTGAAATCATGAGTCAGATGCTTAACCGACTAAGCCACCCAGGCATCCTGACTTTTTTTTTTTTTAATTAAGTAGGCTCCACACCCATCATGGAGCCCAATGCAGGGCTTGAACTCACAACCCTGAGATCATGACCTCAGCTGAGATCAAGAGTCAGACACTTACTTAAACAACTGAGCCACCCAGGTACCCCCATTGTTAAATTAAAAAAAAAAAACATTCACCTGTGATAATAGGCTAATGCCCAGTTTCTTCAATCACAACAGAGCCTTACTGCATGGTAATGTAATTTTTTGAAAGCAAAGTTATACAATACTAAGAAAACTAATACATGATTATTGTATATTAAATATTACTCACACTATACCTATGTAAGAACAGGCTACCCACTTCCATACAAGTCTTATATACAGTGTTCTACACAATGAATACTTAATGACACAAAAATATCTTATATAGTTTTTGCCATATAGTTAGTAGATTTCCACACAAAGACACACACATGCAACAGATAAGTTTATTAGCTGTATAGCATGGTGATTATTTACTGTCCCTTGACTGGAATGGATCATCATAGAGATCTTCATCCTCATTGTCTTGATGTTGAGTAGGCTGAAGAGGAGGAGGAGAAAGGAGAAGGGTTGGTCTTCCCATCTCAGGGGTGACAGATGGAACAGGTGGAGGAGGTGGAAGGGGAGGCTGGAGATGCAAGCACACTTGGTGTAATTTTACAGAAGTACATAGTAATTTCTGACTTTTTGTTTTTTCATTTCTCTAAAAATGTTTCTATACAGTACCAATCCTTTCGCCATTTGTTTTGCTTTTAGCACATGTGTTATGGAAGGATCCATGTCACAAAAGAAGTTAAAAGCTGTCTTGAATGATTGGAACCCTTCATTAGCTAAATTGTCTAATATTAATTTGTTTTCTGGCACTGCTTCTACATCTTCTTACTCATCATCTTGCACTGGTTTGAAAGTACTCATCTCCATCAAGTTGTCTTCTGTTAATTCCTCTGCTGTGGTATCTATTAGCTCTTGAATTTCTCCAAAATCCGTATCTTGAAACCTTTCATCTCCACCTTTGTCATCATATCCACAATCTCATGATCTTGATCGTCGTAAATCATCTGAAGTCATGCACAACATCTGGACCCAGTTTTATCCAGCAGGAATTTATTGTTTTGGGTTTCATGGTTTTCATGGCTTTTTCTATAACAACAATGGCATATTCGGTGGTGTAATCCTTCCAGACTTTCATGATGTTCTCTCTGTTAGGGTTCTCTTCCATAGCATTGACAGTCCTTTCCATATCTAGTGTGTGTTATGAGCCTTAAAGGTCCTTATGGCCCTCCAATCTAGAGGGTGATTATAGAGACCTTGTGTTTGGTCACAAGTAGCCCACTTTGATGCCCTCAGTGTTGAGCTCGTGGGGTTCTGGGTGGCCAGAGGTATTGTTCAATATCAGAAGAACTTTAAAAAAAATTAGAAGAACTTTAAAAGGCAATCCCTGAGTGGCCAAGTACTTCTTGACTTCAGAGACAAAGCACTGGTGGAACTAATCCAGAAAACAGACTTCTTTTCGAGGCCTTCTTGTCATACAAGTAAAAGACTGGAAGCTGGTGTTTATCTTTTCAAAGCATGGGGGTTAGCAGCTTTATAGATAAGAGCAGTTCTGATCATAAACCTGACTGTATTTGCACAAAATAGTAGAGTTAGCCTGTTCCCTCCTGCCTTAAATCCTGGGGCTCTCTTCTCTTCCTTACTAATAAATGTCCTTTGTAGCATTATTTTCCCAGAAAAAAAAAAGACACTTTCATCTGCATTAAAAGCCTGTCCAGGCAGATATCTTTTCTCCTTAGTGATTTTCTTGATGCCATCTGGGAACTGCTTCCTCTTGATCAGCAGAAGCTGCTTCTCTTATTATCTTGACATTTTTAAAAGACAGACTTCTTTCTAAAATTATCAAACCATCCTTTGCTGGTATTAAATTCTCTAGCTTTAGATCCTCCACTCTCCTTTTGCCTTAAATTCTCATATGATGATTTTGCTTAATCTTGAGTCGTATTAGAACATAGTCACATAGATTGCCCATGTTAAG